TAATATAGTATACACATTTAAAGTTAACTTTATCCATTGAACATAATATATTTTTAACTTAACCATTAATTTATTATTTTAGTCTGTCTAATAATTCTTCTAACATAAAGTTTCCCTTTCTATTTCCGTTTCGTGTATTACAAGCGTGCTATTTACACACATATAATACATATACATACACAACTATACCTATATCAGCAACCAGAAGAGGAGTGTTCACTTAACACACACACGTGTGTGTGTTCGAAGAAGAAGAAAAATAAAATGAATAAAAATCGTGGTTTAGATGGGAAAGTCATCATTTTAAGAAAAAAAGAAGAATGACCTGGTGTTGGTTGGTTGGTGGTGTCTAGTCTCGATGGTACGAAACTTTTTGTTCGGTGAATCATCGAAGACACAAGACAAGACAAAACGAAATGAAGTTCTTTCTCCTACACGAGAATATAGTAAATGGGTATTCGAAGGTTATTGCTGCTGCTGCTGCTGCTGCTTTACGAAACACGTGTTCTGTTACACACCACCATTTTTTCTTCTTTCTTTCTTTTTTTCTTTCTATTTAATAGCTTCAGGAACAACTCTCATCGTGAATATTATAATCTAAGCAAGTTGGCATTTCTGGGAAAATTTCGATGGTTTATTTTCTCAATTAACATTTCCCCCCCCCTCCCTCCCTACCACATACTCTTTCCTGTCTTTCTTCTTTCTTCATATACATATATATATAATATAATCTTTTTCTCATTCATCTTTTTTTTATTCATCGTATAGAAAATCAAACACAAACACAGACAACACAGGTGACGTAATTATTCAACAGTACGCATAAAAATTCTTTGAGAATATACCTAAGAACGTGATCAACATTCTCGTTCTTTATTATAATTTATAGTTGTGTATTGTATGTGTGTGTTATCATGCGTAATACGTGGTCCTTTTTTTTAAAAGCTCGTTAATAAACTAGCAAACGTTGGCTAGTACGATTTGTGTTGCATATCTTAATTAAAGATCGTACGAAATCAGAGCAAGCAAGGATAAATATCAAATTTTTATTCCGATATTGAAGGAATGAAAAAATAACACCGCGAAAATTCAAATAATAAAAATATACCTGATGTATTATTTTTTTGTAATATAATAAACGTCACGCATATATACACGTGCGTTACGAAGCATTCAAAATTCTAATGGGGATTTTCTCTTTTCCTTTTTGTTTTTTTTTCTATTACTCATATCTTCATGCTGAGTATCACGAAAAAGATACAAGAAAAAAAAAAGAAAAAGAAAATGACAGAAGTAAGGACTTATAATCGTTTCGTATATCGCGTTCTCTCTCATACATATGTAATAAATACATCCAACACACTCATTCTCAAAGAGATAAGAAAACAATGCACAAATAAGAGTATTTATAAACGTGCTACGATACGTATATATATATATAGGTGGGTACGTTAAATACATATGCAGTTATGTATATACATATTATTAGTGTTAAAAACGTGATGATTATATAAATAATAATTTATAAACACGTTGAACGCGCGATAATACGCGTATGCATATCCGGTCGACCATGGATAACTACGATGACCAATCAAACTATCCTACATTAAATCTCTCTTCGGAAATAATAATAATAATAATAATAACACAACAACAATAATAATACGATTTGAAAAGAGTTATGGTGTCTGGGGTGGGGGTAAGAAAAAGAAAGAAATAAAAAAATGTGAGAATAAATCGAATAAAAATTTGGTGAAGGGGCGGGAGTGGGGAGGGGTCAGGGGGACAAAAATGATTGGTTGAGAATGTAAAATGGCGGTTGCTGACTGACTACGCGTTCGCGTATGTGTCCTGCTGTGTGTGTGTGTGTATATATCTGACTGCTTATCTCTCTCGTGCTTGGAAATTTCCACTCGCATTTATATCGTGTTAAACCTATAATATGTTTGTGTGCACGTTTCGTATGTTATATGTGTGTAAGTTGTACACGTACGGTTTGGTAGAGGTATGTGTGTATACTTTGACGAGAAATCGGTCTCCTCGAATGGTTATTATATTGTTGTCGATTATGACAATACGATTTTCTCGATGTGTTGGTTGTGTTGTGTGTCATTTAAGAAACCGAAGCCTACAAACCAACCAACCAACCAATAACACAAGCTCATTATTCTTTTCGTTGTGTTATAATAAGGACTTTGGTATTATAAACGTGACGATAAATTAACGATGAAGAAACGTGTAAAAAAGAAAAAAAAAAAGAAAAAATTTATCAACCGTGTGGCGTCGCGTCGTACAGTGTGTTTTGCGTGATTTCTCTCTCTCTTTCTCTTTCTCTCTTTCAAGTTTTGCGATACTCGAGAATATATGTAGTGTCTCGACCGTGTTACGTGTTGTATTTTTTTTTTTCTTTCTTTCTTTCTTTTATCTAAGCAAAAAAGGTAGCATCGAGATATTTTCAATGCAAAATTCTTTTCATGCGTGCACCAAGAGAATATGTGAATTGGTTAAAAAAAAATAAACCGTAGAACTCTCGACATGAAAAAAATAACCAAATATTTCTATTTTATTTTTTTTTTTTTTTATATCGAAGTGAGTTTGGATCGGAAAATAATGGTTTCCATGTAAGGATCAAAACTTTTCAATCCATCATTTCCGATCGTAACTCTACGCACATTTTTTTATTAGATTTTAATTTTAACATTATTACAATTCTATTTTTAACTTCAACAAGGAAACAATTTCTTATTAATGCAAGAAAAAAAAATGAATTAAATTTTTTGAATTAATAATATATTTCAAAGCAATTCTTATCGAACGAATAATATTATATTATAATTTTTCTTTTATTATTTTTATATAGGTACTTATTGCTTACAAATTAGTTTTTTTTTTTCTTATATCATTAGAATTCAATCAGTTAAAACAAAAAAAGAAAAACAAATAACACTTTGGCAATTAATATTTTTCAAGACGTGGTGTTCTTATCAGATGTGAAACGACTTATTGAGGATTCCGAAGTGTCAACAACTCGAATGTGGCGTAATTCTCACGTCGCTGTCGTGAGAGATGATAAATCACATAGTTATATTATCATACTTTTGTCTCTTTTCACGTATATATATACACGTAGCTAGCTAGTTATAATAGTATTGCAATAATAATCATAATAGTTTGTATGAGAAAAAGTAAAGAGAGAAAGAGAGAAAGAAATATATAATCGGCAAAAGATGTTTATTTTCTGTTATGTTTCTCTGAAGATGATAGAAGAAACATTGTTGACGATGTAACACATATTACAACTTTGTTTCAACAATATACAAAAAATTTTCCATGATGACAATAATAACTTCTTCTTTATTTTTTTTTTATCTTTCTATCGTAACATTTAATTTGAAGTAGGGGGGGGGGTGAGAAAAATATCAAACTGTTCGTAGAAACTATTGTCGAAAGATTGTAGATCAATCTTATAGTTTTTTTTTCTTTTTCTCAATCATTATCGATAAATACTATCAAATTTTAAAATCAAATTTGGGTAATATGCTTTTGAAATCTCGTATAAAGAAATATGGACGAAGGTATGTCTAAAAAAATTATGAAAGAATTTGAAAAAGTTAAAGAGAGAGAGAGAATCCATTATATGTCATTAGAAATTTTTCTTAAACAACCTTTCTAATCGTCCAAAAGAATTTCTAAAAAGGGAATATAGGATACTATCCACCAATTGGTTAAAAAAAAAAGAGGGCTTGTCTGGAATTGGTTTTTTTTTTTTTTTTTTTTTTTTTTTGAGAAAGAAACTGTCTATTCTTTCGGATTTGGAATGTAAAAACTTTCTACTTATGTTAGATATGTGTATGCTAGAATTTTGTTGATTTGCCCTCTTTTTTTCCTCCTGTTGCTTAGAAACTTTTTGTCAATAGAATTATATTCTTCATTGGTTTGTACTCTCATAGATCGTGTTATATATTTTTTGTTTTAATCATTCTTCTATTTTTGTGTTTATTTTTAAAAAAAGCTTTGCACTCGTTCAAATGAGTCTTACGAGTAGATCATTTAAAAAATCGTATTTAAAGGTTTTTTTTTTTCATACATAAGCTTATTATTTTGTATGATCATAATTAATTTTTCTAAGGAAAATTAAGTATTATATTCTATCATAGAAAACTTGGTTTTACTTTGAATTCGTCAACTTTTAAAAATGTCAAATATCAGTCCCATGCAGAATAAGATAACATCATTTTCTTTTTTATCTTCTTTTTCCTTCAGATAGTTTTTACCTAAAAAAAAAATAAAGGAACGTAATATAGATCAACCATACCTCAAACAAATCTGACAATCTTTATAAATTTTAATTCTGATCGATTATCATTAAGAATTATATCTGTTTATCTTTAAATGGAAAACTAATAATAAACCCAAGTTTTGATCTCTTCTTAAAAAATGGTAAAACCCTAATTGAGGAGAACACAAATCTTCAGGAAGTTACCAAGCACACGTTGTTCTTTTTCTGCTATCAATTAATACGACTTAGTAACACACACCGTTATTTAAAAAAGATTAATACTTTTGATAGACGATTAGATAGAAGAAAAAAATACAAGAAGAATAAGAAGAAGAAGAACCTTGAACAAAGTAATTTTCTTTAATATCGAACTACTAGTTTCAAGATTTCCGTTTTCAATATCATGGAATCAGAGAATAATGTGAGATTTTATTATATATTTTTTGTTTCTTTTAAACTACAACTATCATTATCGAATCAAAGCTTTACGTAATCGTTCGTGTTGTAAGTAATATCTGTCAAGGTTTCCCCCCACTAGACTTTTTTTCTATTTTTTGTGTGTATATCTAATTTTTCAAAGAAATATCGTTTGCGTAAGTACACGAAGTGTATTGTAACTTGCATTTAGATAAAATGCAAAATACAAATACGGATAACACAGCAGAAATACATAAATGATTATAATTAATTTATAATTTTTTTGTTCTTCTTTTTACAGAACACGAGCTCCACGAAGAGCAAGGACACATCAAATGTAAACAGCGCGGTACCGATTTCATCGGGCAGCAGCAGTAACAATGCAACAAACGGTGGTCACGCACCTCTACGTCGAAGTTATACATCAATCGTAACGACGTTGATCGAACAACATCGTAAACTCGACAGGAGCGTTAGCGAACCAACGTCTCGTTACAAGACAGAACTTTGCCGACCGTTCGAGGAAAGTGGGGCCTGTAAATATGGGGATAAATGTCAGTTCGCACACGGGTATACCGAATTACGAAATTTAGCTCGCCATCCGAAATATAAGACTGAGCTATGTCGTACCTTCCATTCAATTGGTTTTTGCCCGTACGGACCGCGGTGTCACTTTATTCATAATTTCGAAGAGGCACGCATACATAATCAAAAAGTGAGCGATGAGATAGGCTTACCTCAGCCAAACATAATGGGCCTTAATCCGTTTCTGGCGGCTGCAGCAGCAGCAGCAGCAGCAGCAGCTAACAACGTTGGTACTACAACAAGTAACACCAACAACATAAACAACAACAATAATAATGCAGCAGCGGTCGCGGTAGCAGTTGCCGGAGCTGCTGCTACTAATTCGTCTAATAATAATAATAACAACAACAACAACCCCGTTAATTCAGCTAATTTAAACGTCGGTTTACTCAAACAAATTGCTGTTGCCAGTTCGTCACAAGAAGCAGCAGTTGCTGCAGTAGCAGCGGCCGCTAATTCATCCCAAAATCTTATTAGAACGAATTCTCTGAGTTCAGCTTTTAGTTCTGCTAATGCTTTTATCCCGCCGTTACTGCGTACCAATTCATTAAGCCTGGGCTCGACTCAACAACAACAGCAACAGCAGCAACATCATCATCAACAACAACAGCAGCAACAACAGCAACAGCATCATCATCATCACCATCATCATCATCGTCAAACGTGTGCCAATGTTGTCAGGAGTAGTTCAATCGTTGGATCAACCAGGCCCAAACCTTTGAACCTCAGTCCAACTTTTTCACTTGGTAGTACAGCCGATTCAGGTTCACCCCCATCTAGTCTCAGTCAATCTCCCACCAATTCAATGGCAAGTTTCTTTGGTGACGAACAAGGAAACTTAACAACTAACAACCTGTCGACAACGGCATTCAGTTTTGGACATAATTTTGGATTAATCGAACCTAGACAAACACCAAGCCCGCACACGAACCTTTGCAGTTCACTCAGTTCCGATGACATTGTACCTAGAACCCCATCACCATTATCACCTAACGCCGAATCAAGGTTACCTGTATTCAATAGGATCAGTAGCACCCTTGCTGACTTTGAAAATCTTAAGATTTAAATTATTATTCTCTTAAATGTGTGACGAGACTATACTAACATTTGTGCGTCTATGTGTGTTTCACTTTTTGCAAACATCGAAAAAAAACACATATATGCGCCTTGGTTATATTTTCTCTCTCTCTTTTTTTTTTTTTTTCTCACAAACAATCATTTTAAAATGACGTCTCTTGCGAATGTCATCGATTTAAAAAAAAAAGCAATTTTTTTTTTAAATATTCCTTTTAGAGATATTGAGGAGGAGTAAGAGGAGTAGAAGTAAGAGTAGGAGATTACGTATTAAAAATAATCATTTCATTTTTTTCCCTTCTATCTCTTTCGATAAGGACGAAGGGGGGGGAAGGTAGGATCGATCATATTTTCCTTCCTCTTCTTCGTGCTTACTTTTTTTTCGCGCTTATTATTTAAAGCATTTTCTTTTCTCTTCTATTATTATTCTATTACTTCTGGTGCTTTTTCTTTTTCCTTTTCTTTTTCTTTCTCTCTTCTTAGGGGGGAGGGTTTTTTTTCTTTTTATAAAACAACTGATCTTTAAAATTAGTTTACTAGTAATTATTTAACTATTGTTTAAAGTTTTTTTTCTCCCCCGACATTGGTTTTTTCCTTTTTTCAATATTTTAATATAATCATTATTATTAAT